CGAGAGTGCGAGGCCTTCATGGTCAGCGGGACCGAATGTGAGGAGGTGTGGCCCGGGCCAATGACCCCATGCCCTCTGTCAACCCCCACTGACCTCCCTGACCCCAGACGCCTCCATGACCTGACATTCCTGTGACCTTCCCATCCCAGGAACCAGCCCTGATCTGATGATTTCCCACGAGTTTCCCATTCCCCAAAGATCCTTACAACCTCCACTCCTCCTGCTGACCTCCCTGACCCTGTGACTTCCCCCCTAGTGCTTTCTGACCTGCCACAAGCGCTGCCTTGAGACTCTGCTGATCCTCTGTGGGCACAGGCGGCTCCCAGCCCGGACATCTCTCTTTGGGGTCGACTTCCTACAGCTGCCCAGGGACTTTCCAGAAGAGGTGCCCTTTGTAGTCACCAGGTGCACGGCCGAGATAGAACAGCGCGCCTTGGGTGTGCAGGTGCCACCTTGACCCTTGACCCTTGACATTTGACCATCCCCAGCAATTGCCTGGCCCTCTCCATGACTGGATTACTACCCAGGTGTTTATTTCCCACCCTACCCTGCAGGGCATTTATCGGGTCAGCGGGTCACGGGTCCGGGTGGAACGGCTGTGCCAGGCTTTTGAGAACGGGCGAGCATTGGTGGACCTGTCAGGGAACTCACCTCATGATGTCTCAAGCGTCCTCAAGCGGTTCCTCCAGGAGGTGGGTACTCAGGGGGAAGGGGCAGGGGCTGGGCAGGCCCAGGCTAAGGACCTCCTGCAGCCCACCCTCACCCACATTGCCTCTGCCATTCCACCCCCAGCTCACTGACCCCGTGGTCCCTTTCCACTTCTACGATGCCTTCATCTCTCTGGCTAAGACCCTGCATGCAAACCCTGAGCATGACCCTGGGACCCCCAGCCCTAGCCCTGAGGTTATCCGCTTGCTGAAGACCCTCTTGGTGCAGCTGCCTGACTCTAATTACAACACCCTGCGGCACCTCGTGGCTCATCTGTTCAGGTGTGCACTGTCCCTGACCTTGAAACTGACTTCTGACCTGAGACACGGACCTGTGAGCCCTTCCCTGGACATGTGACTACTGATCTTTGGCACTGACCCCTGGCAATGACCTTTGACCCTTGCATGTGTTTTCAGAGCTCTGAACCTTAATATACGTGACTCTTGACTTTGAGCGCCTGCTACTGACCCCCATTGCTGGGCATGTGGCTGCTGGTCTCAAACAATGACGGGGGCCACTGACCCGTGACTTGGGCAGGTTGACACTAGTGTGACCTTCAGGTCCTCCCTGATGAGAGATGACTGTATACTCTGTGCCCTTACCCTTCTCCTCACCCCATCCCCAGGGTGGCTGCACAATTTGAGGAAAATAAGATGTCTGCCAACAACTTGGGCATTGTGTTCGGACCGACCCTGCTGCGGCCACCGGATTGTCCTGGGTCAGCCGGCACTGGTCCTGTTACCTGCCTCCTGGACTCTGGGCACCAGGCCCAGCTTGTCGAGTTCCTCATCTCAAACTATGAGCAGATCTTTGGGATGGACGAACTCCCCCTGGTCACTGAGCCCCCACCTCAAGACCCCAGCCCAGTCCCTGGGCCCCTCACAACCAGCCCCCAGCCACCAGCCCCATACATTGCCCCAGATCCCCAGCCCCCAACCCTACCCTCAGACCTGGGCCCGGATCCTGAGCCCCACAGTGCCCTGGAGAAGCATCGCGAGGCTGCACCCCCTGAGGTAGGAACCTGCTGGGCCTAGGGACGGGGGTCTTCTCTCCATCTGCTCTTCTCTCTCTCCTTCCTTCCTTTCCCTTTAAAATTTTCTTTCATTTCTTTCTTTTTTAAATTTTATCTTTATTTTGAGAAAGAGGGGAAGGGAGGGAGAAAGAGAGGGAGAGAAACATCCATGCATGAGAGACATCTATTCGACGTCTCTCTCTCGCCCCCAACTGGGGATCTGGCCTGCCACCCAGGCATGTACCCTGACCGGGAATCGAACTGAGGACCATTTGGTTTGCAGGCCAGTGCTCAGTCTACTGAGCCACTCCAGCCAGGGCATCATTCCTTTTTTATGTACCCTGTGTTCATTCTAGGAAGAGAAGTGAGGAATGGAGTGGGTGGGGGGTAATAATGAAGTAACAACAGGATCTATAGCCCTCAGAAGTACTAACACGGGTGATCATTCATTCCTCCAGCAGAATATTTATTCAACACCTACTATGTACCAAGCATTGTTCTAGGCATTACATATACATCAGTGAGCAGGATATTCAAAGACCCTATTCTCTTGGTGCCTACATTCTTGTAGGAAAGAAACCATTAACAAATAAGAAATATGATTCAGAGCTCTATAAGATGCTACATGGTAACAAGTATTGTGGAGAAAAAAAAAGGTAGCATATCAAAGGTAAGGGATGTCAGAGACACCAGGGTGAGAGGTGATGGAAAGTTTATAGCAGTCCGTAGGGGGCTGTGGACAGGTCTCATGGAGAAGGTGGATTTGAGCAAAGACTGGGAGGATGTCAAGGAGAAATAAGCCGGGTGGAGACCAGGAGAAGTGTGTTCCGGGCGAAGGAAATAGACAATGCAAAGGCCCTGAGGTGGGAGTGTGCCTGGTGTGTTCAAGGCACAGCCTCATCACATTGTAACAAATGAGGAGAAGGTCAGGAGAAGAACCAAAGAGCAGTCTGTGGGCCGCCACCTACTATGCATGGGCACTTCATAGGCTTCCTGTTGTCCTCCCCACAGCCCTGAGTCATAGATACTCTTAGTGAAGACCATTTACACGTAAGACTCCTAGGGAGGTTTCCCTGACCCTCATTCTCTGCTGTACCTGCCATTCCCAAGAGCACAGACCTCCTCCAGGGCAGCCCCAGGCTGGGAAAGGGGCTGCTGGTGTGCGGCGGGACTCTACGCGCTGGAATGGCTCAGGAAGGGCTCAGGACAGTGTCCGACACATAGAAAGAACTCTAGCTGCTATTAGCATTTAGTTAAAGGCAGAACAGTGAAAATATAAAAAGCAGGCATAATATGGCAGAGAATAGAGCGGAAAGGAGAGTTACCTCATCCCCGGGTGGGGATGGTTAAGTTACAACCTGGCCTGGTCCTCTGCTGAGCCAGGGCATTGCTGCCCTCACAGCCTGCCGAGGAGACCAAGGATGGTGCCCTGCACAGCAGGACAAGCAGTACACTGTTAAGGGCATTATCTCTCCCCAGACACCAAAACTACAAAGGAACTTGCAGATCCAGGAACAAACCCTCAGTTCTCCAAGAGTCTCAAAGAACTGCGATTTCATTGTTAGGGTCTTGGTCTTGGGTTTCTCCCTACAGGTTCCGACTCTACAGAGTGACCCGAAAGAAGTGGCCGAAGATAGGAAAGACGAGAGAGGGGAAGGTGAGTGTGTGGGGGAGTAACCCAGGAGTTCTGCAGGTGCCCTGCCGAGGGCAGTTTGGCTGAGAGATGACTCCCCAGGGGGCGGGGACATCTAGAGGACTTGGGGGTGCTCAGCAATGACCACCCCATTCCACAGTGTCCAGCCAAGACCCGGAGGACTCACTCCTAGGAACACAGTCCCGTAGCTACTTCAGCCGCCAGCCAGTGAAGTATCCCAGGGGGGGTGTGCGACCTGTCACCCACCAGCTGTCCAGCTTGGCCCTGGTGGCTTCCAAATTGTGCGAGGAGACCCCTGTCACATCAGGGCTCCAAGGGAGCTTGCGGAGGAAGGGGCTGGGCCCAACCGCAACCGCCCCAGAGGACAGCACCCCGCGCCGTACCGCGCTGCCCAAGCATTTTGAGATTACCCAGGAGACAGCCCGACTACTCTCCAAGCTGCACACAGAGGCTGTGCCCAAGGCCCCCTGCTGCCCGGCCCCCCAGCCTGAGGAGGAGGAAGCCGAGGACCATCTCTGACCACCCCAGCACTCTGACCAAGTGGTTCAAGACTGAGGAGATAGACCCACTTCTCCCAGGAGTTCAATGCTGGGGGTTCTGGAGAGTTCCTATAAGGAAAAATGGCATGGCCTGGGGGAAGTACTGAAACCCTTTTTATTGCAATGTACCCGGCTTCCCCTACAAGACACAGGTCACTGTCAAGCAGCAGGGCCAATACTCAGGTTCAGAGATCACGCAGGGCCAATACTCAGGTTCAGTATAGATCGCAGGATTCTTGGGGATCCACCCTGGGGATCCCCTAAGATCCTCTGACCCCTGGGACAGGGGTGCCTTTTGCTACTTTGGTTGTAGCCACTTTCCCACCTCCACCAGCCTCCTTAGCTGACCCAAAGTGACCAGCTCTTGGAGTGGGGGAGTGACAGCCCAGACGGGACATCTGGAGATGCCTGGGGTCTGATGGTCCCTGAATAAACTGTGTGTCTTTATGCCCTTGAGTGTCTTTCTTCGCCAGGTGAGGGCAGCATCCTCTGGCCCCATTTTACCCCGCAGGGAAACCGAAGCCCGCTCTCCCTGAGCACCTACGGGCACCGAGCTGAGTCATGCCTGCCCGGCCCTCCTCGAGCCCTGCGTCTTGATCTGGTCCTGCATAATCAAATAGAACAAAGTGCAGATAACCGGGACAATGGAGCTGTGTTCTCAGGGACGGGCCCTGGGAGCGCAGGGCCGACACAGGCCCGGGCCGGGCACGGGGCAGTGCCGCCAGGGGCTGGGGGCAAGGGGCGTGATTGCCAGAAACTTGAGCGGGGCAGGACAGTCAGTCGGGCCGAGGAGGTCCCCCTGTAAGAGAGGCGGCGGCACACGGCAGCTGCTCGCTAGGGGAGCCGCGGTGGGGCGGGGGTCCGGGCGGTGGGAGCCTAGTCGGATCGGGGCGTGGCCTGGAGCTCGGCGGCGGATTGGACGCATGGGAGCGGGGTTGGGTGGGAGTGGGGGTGCGGACCCAGGACCACCCGGCGCTGAGCCCGGGCAGCGGGAGGTCACCGCGGGAACTCTCCAGCCCCGAGTGACTCGGCCGCCCTCAAGGCCCGAAACTGAGGGGCGCAGGTCTGCAGGGACTAGGTGGTGGTCTCGCCGGAAGTGGGGAGGAAATGGGGGGCTGAGGTTCCGGGAGACTCCGGCTTCTCCGGGCCGCAGAGGCCGGGCTCCCCCAGGTGGCGGGGGCGGGGCGCCAGGGCTGGGCAGGGACAGGGCGGCGGGGGCGGGACTCGCCTTCCGCGGCGTCTACGGCGGCGCTAAGCGCCCCCAGACTCGCCACTTCCTACAGCGTCGCCGGGCCATGGGCCTGTGACCCGGCCCTGCCCCCCGCGAGGCCATCCTGTGTGCGGCTTGACGGGCGGCCAAGGTGAGACCGGCATGGAGGGGGCGGGTGGACGCGAGTACTGGGGGGGTGCGGCAAGTGGCGGTGGGGGCCGAGTGCTGCCCACTTCTCCCCTACCCACCTTCTCCCTCAGCCTGGGGCTCCGGAAAGCCCAGTCAGCTGCCCCCTTTGTCGCGGAGGCCAGCAGGGTCCTCCGTTTCACCCAGAATGGCCCGAGCGCTTCGGGAGCGCCCTTGCCCAAAGCCTGCCTCCCGACGTCTGGGGCTGGCTCGCTGCCTTCCCAGGTCTCCCCAAGTCAGCTCCACGCCCGAGCACCCACAGCCTGCAGGGTCCGGGCACTGATCCCGCCCTGCGCACACGTGACTTCTGAGCTCTGCAGTCTGCAGTGAGCCCAGCACCAAACTGGCCTTCCCTCCCCTACTTTCACAGCTCGCACCCCTTTGTCCTACCCTAGCCCCCACCACCGGCTACACAGACTGAACCCAAATTGGCAGCATGTGGGCAGATGGGTTTTGTTTTGTTTCTTTAAGTTACAAAAGGCAACCAATTGGAAAAGAAAAAAGAAACCCAACTAGTTGTTTGATTTGGGAGATATCTTAATAGCAGTCTTATTAGTAAATAAGCAACAGCTGATCCCTCCACCCCAACCCATAGAGCTTGCTTTTCTCGGGCACCCTGGTCCCCCAAAATGCCACCTTGCCCAGAGGCATTTAAGTTTGAGAGCTTTGGCCCACCTGTCGGGACCCTGTCCTCTGGGTGCTGTTCCTTTCTAGGTCCTTTGGACAGTCCCTGCCTGCACTGACCTTTTCCTCTGTGCCTTCAGCTAGGTCACCATGGGCCAGTGCTACTACAATGAGACCATCGGCTTCTTCTACAACCACAGTGGCAAGGAGCTGAGCTCCCACTGGCGGCCAAAGGATGTTGTTGTCGTTGCACTGGGGCTGACTGTCAGTGTGCTGGTGCTGCTCACCAACCTGCTGATCATCGCGGCCATCGCCTCCAACCGCCGCTTCCACCAGCCCATTTACTACTTGCTCGGCAACCTGGCTGCGGCTGACCTCTTTGCTGGTGTGGCCTACCTCTTCCTCATGTTCCACACGGGCCCTCGCACAGCCCAGCTGTCTCTCCTGGGCTGGTTTGTGCGGCAGGGTCTGCTGGACACAAGCCTGACTGCGTCGGTGGCCACATTGCTGGCTATTGCCGTGGAGCGGCACCAAAGCGTGATGGCCGTGCAGCTGCACAGCCGCATGCCCCGCGGCCGTGTGGTCATGCTCATTGTGGGGGTGTGGGTAGCTGCCCTGGGGCTGGGGCTGCTGCCCGCCCACTCCTGGCACTGCCTCTGTGCCCTGGACAGATGCTCACGCATGGCCCCCCTGCTCAGCCGCTCCTACCTGGCCGTCTGGGCTCTGTCCAGCCTGCTTGTCTTCCTACTCATGGTGGCTGTCTACACCCGCATTTTCTTCTACGTTCGTGGGCGGGTACAGCGTATGGCAGGGCATGTCAGCTGCCACCCCCGCTACCGTGAGACCACATTCAGCCTGGTCAAGACTGTTGTCATCATCCTGGGTGAGTGGGACCCTGATCCCCCCAGCTCCTCCAAGATCTGGTGGAAGAGCATGATGGGAGGAGATGATTCGGGTGGAAAGGTTCTCCAAGCGGCGATATCTGAGCAGAGACCTGAGTGCTAGGGAAGGGAAAAAAGTTCCAGGCAGAAGGAACAGAGAGCCCCAGGTAGGACCACGCAGGCCTTGAACGGCACAGATGGGAGTCGGATTTTGTTCCGAATCCCGTGGGAAGCCCTTAAGAGTTTTTGGCAGGGAGTAACATGGTCACTATGGCTGTTGAAATGTAGGATGGTCTGGGTGGGGCAGGGGGCAGGAGACCTTCCCTTTGGGACATACCCCCCACACACATAAGAACAAGGAGTGACTCCTCTCAATGATCGCCTTCCCCCCACTGGGAAACTGGCCTGTCCCACGGTGACCTGCTTTCCCCCACAGAACAGATATCCACCTAGAAACATCCAGGGCACTGCCCACAGTGTACCAGTTAGGAAAGGAGTCCCTTCTGGCAAACAAGTTAGAGTAAAGAGTCCCTTCTTGTCACACCTGCCCCATCACTCTGCCAAGGCAGCAAGACAAGCCTCTCTGGCACCATAAACCACAGTTGTCGTCCGAGCTCTGGACACCCCTGCAGCCCTGAGTTCAGAGCTGGCCCTGCTCACCTTGGGCTTCATCCCACAGGAGCGTTCGTGGTCTGCTGGACACCAGGCCAAGTGGTGCTGCTCCTGGACGGTCTGGACTGCAAGTCTTGCAACGTCCTGGCTGTGGAGAAGTACTTCCTACTCTTGGCAGAGGCCAACTCACTGGTCAACGCTGTGGTGTACTCCTGCCGTGATGCAGAGATGCGCCGCACCTTCCGCCGCCTCCTCTGCTGTCTGTGCCTCCGCCGGTCCACCGGCGATTCTCCCCGCTACACAGCCTCCACCCAATCAGGTGCCAACACCCGCATAATGCTTTCTAAGAATGGCCACCCCCTGATGGACTCCACCCTTTAGCCAACCTCGGACTTCAGTGGGGTGCAGCAAGTGCCAGGTTGCACCCCTGACCACTCGTGGATGTGCCTGGTTCAACCAACCCACTCTGAGGGACAGGATTCAAGGCAGACCCTTGGTCCGGATGACACCAGAGCCAGGCCTCCCCACAGACCCACCTGTGCCTGCCTCGGGGCCGGGGGTGTGTGGTCATCTCCAGTGCCCAGGAGAGTGTCAGGTGGGGTTCAGGAACTGGCTCTTCAATCATCTCAGGTTGTGGGGTTTTTAATGGATGTTTGTTTTTACTGCACACCCCTGGTGAACCCTGTGGCTTCTTTGTGCGTGCTGGTGTGGGTTACAGGTAGGAGAGATGAGGACTCTCAGGCCACACTGCTGAAAATCATAAGGACAGATCATGGATGCACCATCTGCCTGAAGCTGATTCTTCAGTCTGGCACAGACTGAAGGGTGCTGAGCAAGAGCTGGGAAAGGTGTGTGGCCCCGTGAAGCCTCGGGGCTTGCCTGTCCCTGCTAGACTTGAGGGTGTTCACGAGGAGGGCATATTAAGAAGTAAACCTTTATTTCTCCTCTGGTATTTTGAAAGCACTTTCTATCATTAACTCCGTCTGTCGCTGTGTCCCAGAATTGTCCACCTCAGCTTTACCTGGCGGGGACCCTTCAGCCCTGTTCTCATTCCCCGTCAGTCTCTGGCTGGTTGTTACTCCGTCTGTCTTAGAGTTTTGCGTCTGTTCCCTCTTGTCCGTCTTCTCCACTTGTTCCCCTGCTTCCCTCTTGCCAACTGCCTGTCTTCATCCTCTGGAGCCCAGAGGAGTTCATAACCCACATAAGTCCTCTCATGCCGGCCCTTCCGTCCTAGTCCAGGTTAACAGTCAGGCGTGTCCATCCATTGCACACCACACACCAGGGCCAGGGGTAGTGGGATCCATGGAGCAGGGTGTCAGATTTGAGTGTTGCCATTTCTCAAGCTCCTCTGACATTGCCTGGCACACTGATAAGCACTTCAGGTGCAATATCCAATCATCACCTGCAAGCCTTACACCTACTTCATGTGAGGACAGTGGTTCTGAGAGGCAGACATCTGGCCCATGGTTACGCAGTTTTGCAGGGGCACAGAGATGCATCCAGGGACTAGAGAGGCTCCTGGGAAAAGGGCTTCAGATTCCCACAAAGTATGGAATTGGTCACAGCTCAGCCTGGTTTTTTCCTTTTTTACTGTTTATTGACTTTAGAGAAAGGAAAGAGAGAGAAACATCAATTTCTTGTTCCAGTCATCTGTGCATTCATTGGTTGATTCTTGTATGTGCCCTGAACAGGGATTGAACCCACAACCTTGGCATATTGGGACGATGCTCCAACCAACTGAACTAATCAGCCAAGGCTCAGCCTGGCTTTTCCCACCTCACCACATAGCCCCTGAAGGCCTCGGATGGGTGAGACTCCTGATGATAAGCCCTGTCTTAGATGCTCATAGAGATATCCTGCTGGGCATGGTGCAGACCAGAACTGGATTCTCTGCTTCCACCTAAGGAGACAGGGTTATGTCCCTACTTCAGGTTCACACAGACTAACAGCCAAATGTGAAACCAGGCTTCCCAGAAGAGGCCCAGTTCTTAAGCTACTAATATAAACATTGCCAAAGAACGAAAAACATCTAGGTCCTTCCTTGGGCTTCCCTTTGGGAAAACCCCTGCCCTAAGGCAGCTTTGTGAGGTGAACTGGGGTGTGGGTACTTCTCCAGGGTCCAAGGTGGGCAGCATGGCTCCTCCAGCAAGGAGGGGCTGAATCTCCAGAGGTGGTGACCCAGGCCAGCAGCTGCCACCATGTGCCTGGGCACACGCCCATGAACGATGCAGTACTGGCCTCCATCGACCTTTGGGCTCGCTGGGCAGACAAGTCACTGCGGGGGTCGAGGCAGCCAACAATTCCTATGACCTCCGAAAGACAGCTCTGTTTCGCCTGCTCTGAGCTGGCCGCTCTTGCATCAGCATCCTCCAGGTCCTAATTCACACTCTGGGATTCTGTCTCACCAGTTTCCCCCTCTCTTGCAGGTCTCTCTTCTCTACCAAGTTTTTGTCTCTGCTGGTCTTTTAAGCTTTCAAACACCTATCCCCTACTGCATTCTCGGAAGGACGTTAAAGTTCCCCGCTATTTTCAGGCCTCCTGTGCAAGTGCTGTGCTAGCAGCTGACCTTTGGAAACAGAGCATTGACTCTCATTGGCACCCACACCTCTTCTAGTACTTCCTGTTATTGGGGCCAAGTGTCAACTCTCATCAGGAAGCTTTCAAAGTTGTTCTTACACAGCCCACATCACCCATTTCCATTCCCTGATGTCTTGGAGTCCCCCAGTAAAATCACTCCAGATGGTTCTCACATTTCCTCTCCTGCCTGCCTGAGGGGTTGGCAGCCAGGCTTGAGGACCTTTTATGAGCCTGTGTCTGGAGTCTACCCTTAGAGCAAACATACTCCAGGAGGTCCCATGAAGCTGGATATGTACTTCTTGTCCAGTCTGTTCCTTTTCTCTCGAATGAGGAGCTGCTGTCTTGGGGTGCACCACAGGGTAGGTTTTCCATTCATTAATTATCCATGTGGTAGTGTTTTCTAGACCTGGAATGGTGCAGAGCAAGAGAATGAATAGACGAGAGGTCATGCTCAAGCCAGACCTTGAAAGGTAAATAGAACTGACCTCTACGGCAAAGAAAATGACTCAGTTCTAATCTCCCAGTCACCATCAACACACACTTGTGACCCTCATGGAAAGTTTCCAGGCAAGAGCCAGGATGCAGGGAGCCCTAGTGACCCCCCCGAATGGGGCTGAGGAGCGCATTAGGGGACTGCTCAGGGGACTGGGGCTTCTGGAGATGAATTGGGGGGGGTGTCCATGGAGTCCAAGGGAGAGTCTGAGAAGGAAGGGATGGCTGGGAGGAAGAGTGGGCTGCCCTGAGAAGTGAGGACGCAGGAAAGGGTGGGTTCCTGAGGAGTGGGGGGGCCTCTGAAGAGAAGGAATAGGATCTCTGAACAGAAGGTACGAAGAGGAGTAGGGGCCTCTGAAGCGGGGCAAAGCTGGCCTTGGCCTCTCTAGGGCTCAAGGATGGGGGTGGGGAGCGCCTTTGGGCTGTTGGGGGCGTGTCTGTGGGCGGTGCTCCTCGGCTAGGGCGGCGGCGGTTGGCTGACAGCAGCAGTGGGGGGCGTGCCCAGGCGCGTGCAGAGCAAACGTGGCTGCAGTAGACTGCCGGGTCCTTGCAAGTGCTCTAGGCCCCGTGGCCCCCCATCAACACCCCCCGTGCCCCGCCGGCCATGGACTTGGGCGACGTCCTGCAGCAGATCACGGGCATCACCTACCAAAGCCTGGAGGAGACGCAGGCCAGGTGCTGCGCGGGCTGGCTGAGGGACAGGGGCGTTTGGAGGTGTGGAGCAGAGGAGGGGCCAAGGCGACAGCGTGGAGTATTTGAGCCGGGAGGGCAGATTTTTTTTTTTTAGGGTGGGGGGGGCGGACTGGGTAGGAGCTTGAGGAGAACAACGAAGGCATTTATGGGGTTGAAATGGAACGGATTGAAAGGCTTATGGGGCTAAGCAGTGGGGTGGTGGAGAGAGAGAGACAGGTTTAAGGGGAGTTGGTGGACAGGGAAGTGTATGGTGAAAGATGCTTTCGGGGCTTATGGAATTGTAAGGGGGTGAGAGGAGTGCTGAGGGTATAAAAGGATGGGTTAGTGGGATTCATGAAGTGGGAAGTTTTGAGGACAGGTTGGGGAATGAGTTGGGGAATGGGACTTGGGAATGAAGAGATGGGTGACTGAGTAGGTGTGGCGACCATCAGGAAATGGTTAGTGGGGGAGCCGGGTGGAAACCAGGAAGAATCCCCCCTTTTTAATTTGGGAAATATTATTGGATGCTATGTGCAAAGCACCAAGCTGGCCGCTGGCAAAGTCCTAGTTCTCAAGCTCACGGTTTGAGGGAGAATGTAAGTGCAAAAAACTTAGTATAAATCGTGAGAAAAGCTGTAAGGAAGGGGCTGGCATGCTGTGGGAAGCCAAGTGGAGAGGGTGGGACACCTGCAGGGGCCCTGAGGTGGAAAAAGCAGAGCCAGGGACTGAAGGTCCACAGCTGCGTTTGGAGAGAGGGCTGAACTGCGTCACAGTAGGCCCACGGGTCTCAGAGTTTGGGTTTTATGTCAATTGCAGTGGGGAAATCATAGCAATGAAAAGAGCACCGCACGGCCCCATCTTTCTGCACCCACCACTGTCAGCCAACCAGGATTGGCAAACGCTCCTCCACAAGGCAGCCCATCGCGTTTGGGTTCTGCCCAAATTATTAGAAAATGGGAAAGGACTGAAGTTCCTTTGGAGGATAAGTTCTTGTTAAATGGGGGCCTGTCTGGGGGGAGGGGTGGCCCCTGGGACTGGGACCCGGGTCCAGTTGTGAGGACTGTGCAGTCAGTCACTAAAGCTTTCCAGGGGAGACGGGGCACAAAGCCAGTTGAATGGCAGCCCTAGGCAGTTTCATAAGCTCCGACTGAAAAGTTAGGGGCGTCACCCCCCCACCACCATGTTTACTCTACTTTTTGAAGTATTGTGCTAGGTGCTTGAGAGGCCCAGAGAGCTGAGAGAGTCCTGCCCTCTTGGAGCTCACTGGAAAGTAGAGTGTGGGGGATTATAAATAGTTGTCATATCTAACTTATAAATAGCTGTCATATCAGGAATATTCTGAGTAGAGGTATTTCCTGGCACAAAAGAACCGGACTAGGAGAGGGTGCCTCTGTGTGATTCACAGTTTGCTAGGCTAGTCCGAGAGCAGGGGCTTTGTTGTACTTGCCTTTGTATTGCCAGGGCCTGGCACCCAGCAGTCATAAAGTTTGGTGGCATTTAGATTCTGGGAGGGTTAGCAGGAGCTGGGGCAAGGGAAAGTGGACTGTTCACCCTCAGAAACCACAGAGGCTGTGCTCTGGGTCTTCGTGTTCTTTCTGTTCCTCAGGGCAGAGTCGTTGGATAAGTGAGCTCCGCCCAGCGATGGCCTTGCTCTGGAGCCTGTGGCCCCAGCACAGCCCCTGGCTGCTGCTTTTTTCTTGTAGCAATTTCTTGACACTCCCCTAGATTGGCTTCAGAATAAAATGTGGTCGGTCACCTCTATTCGCTGTTCTTGAAGACAGCTCTATTTTCTTTTAAGGCTAAGAAAATGGAGAGTGGAATGTTATGTGCTTGACAACACGGCTGTCAGGCGTCTGGTTCCATTTCTTACTGTGGTAGAAAGAACTCTGGGGCTTTTATTTTGAGACTTAGAGGCTTCAAATATGCCCCCATCCTTTGTCTGTTCGTTTTTTTAAGATTTTGTTTATTTATTTTTAGACAGAGGGGAAGGGAGGGAGAAAGAGGGAGAGAAACATCAATGTGTGGTTGTCTCTCATGCGCCCCCTACTGAGGACCTGGCCCACAACCCAGGCATGTGCCCTGACTGGGAATCAAACCAATGACCCTTTGGTTTGCAGTGCGGCACTCAATCCACTGAGCCACATCAGCCAGGGCTGTCCTCCTTCTTCACATGTTGCCTTTAGATGAACTCAGGGCTCTAAAAGTCACCCAAGTCCAGACAACAATCTCTAATTCTCAGGTGGGCCACTTAACGTACTGTGCAAAAAACAGCCTGAAAGGATCTTTTCCTCGTAGTAAAACTCTGCAGCCTGTGTCTCTCCAGGTCAGCTGATGGGGCGAGTGAGGCTTTTGTAAGTCTTTCTGACTCTGTCCTCTCAGAGTGTGCCTGCTGACCCCTTCACAGTCCCTGGGGTTAGTTTTGCTCAACTGGCTGGCAAGAAGGAATTTTTTTATATCAGCTGTGAGGCCCTCTCAACCTGTTTTGTCACCATAAGTATGAAAGCACACCTACTCTCTTTAAACCTGAATTCTTACTTATATCTTTCTGCATTATTAAGAAGGCAGCTCCAGCCTGGCTGGTGTGGCTCAGTGGATTGAGTGCTGGCCTGCAAACCAAAAGTTCGATTCCCAGTCAGGGCACATACCTGGGTTGCAGGCCAGGTCTCTGATTGGGGGGGTGTGAGAGGCAACCGATCAGTACATCTCTCATACATCAATGTTTCTCTCCCTCTCTTTCTCCCTCCCTTCCCTTCTCTCTAAAAGTGAATAAGGGGAAAGACTGTACTTGAATGACAATTAAAAAAAAGAAAGAAAATTACTATAAGAATATAAATAAATAAATAAATCATCTTTTTTAAAGGCAGCTCCAAGTGCTTGTGCATAATTCATTCCTTTATTATAGCTCCATAGTCTGAGGGTAGTGAACTGTGCGTTGTTCTTCCTTCTGACTACACAGATAGTGGAGAGGCACTGGGAACTTTGGGATAGGCCATCTTTGTTTACATTCAGCCCAAGTCAACTGGGGACTTCTGTGTGAAGGGTGACCCGGTCTCCTTGAATGATCTTCTGACCTCCTTAGGCCATACCCGAAGGCCATGTCCCTTCCTGGAGAAGGGACAGTTCCACATCTTCTCATTGGAACCTTTCACTGATCACATTCTCATTCATTTCCTGTACAGACCAGTAAGGCAGACATTTATAACCCATTTGCCAAGGATTGTCTGAATATTGTGCTTTATCATGCATAGCCTTATTTTTTTATAATAATAAATTTTATGACATTTTACAGTTTACATAGTTACTTCATTTGGCTTTCTCAGCCACCTGTATGAGGGGTTTATGAGGGTTACCAGACTAGGGTTGAGAGCTCCTCTGTTAGGATTGTCAGGCTTCAAAGTTCTTCCCACTTCTCAGGGTCCTTGGCCAATGTTTGACTCCTGGGCCCTTTTGGAAATCTCTTGCATGCTCCAGGCCCTCCTCCCGTCCCTCCGCAGCCTGGCCCTTCACCACACCTCCGAGGGTCCTCAAGCCTCAGGTGCCCTAGAGCAAATTTCCTAAGGGGTCAGGATGAAAACTCTAGAGCCAGGAATGGCTGAGGGGGTAGTTTTGGAAACCAATCCAAAAGGGAAGCAGAATAGTCAGTGGTGTCACCCTGGAGACCCAGACTCTGTACCTGCTGTTCTGGTAGAAGCAGCTGAAAAGGACTGACCCTTCTTCAAGTCATCTGCCTGCTGGAGGGACAGGTGGGTTGTGTTGCGGGACTGGCAGATTTGGCTGTAGTGGCTACTTCTTGACCCTTTGCTGGCAGGTGCACACAGATATGCTAGAGAGTTGCACTGTCCATTGTTGTAGCTGCTCACCACATGTCTTTTTAAATAAAAATGAATTATGCCCTGGCTGGTATGGCTCAGTGGATTGAGCGCCAGCCTGTGAACCAAAGGGTCATTGGTTCGATTCCCAGTCAGGACACGTGCCTGGGTTGTGGGCCAGGTTCCCAGTAGAGGGCCCATAAGAGGCAACCACACATTGATGTTTCTCTCCCTCTCTTTCTCCCTCCCTTCCCGCTCTCTAAAAGGAAATAAATCTTTTTTAAAAATGAATTAAAATTAAATAAATGAAACATCCAGTTCCACAATTCCATAGCTACAGGTGCTCAACAGCCACGACATGTGGCGAGTGGCTACCACGTTACCTCAGACGGAGCACCGTTCCGTCATTGCAGAATAGTCTCCCCGACAGCAGTGTTCCAGAGCAGTGCTGCTTCGGCTCCACACGCTGCAGATCTCTGCGGGCATCCTACGGCAGTGCCAGTTGTGATGCAGTAGGTGTTTGGGGGCTGGGGGGCAAGAGTCCACGTTTCTAAGAAGCTCCCAAGGGCACCTGTGCTCCCGATACCAGACCACACGTGGGGAGGGCAGGCTCTCAGGAGTGGAGGCGATAAAGGCCCATTATTTCAATTTTCATAAGTCAATTTACCTTGTAGATCGTTAATCTGACAAGTGGAAATTATTTTTGAGCCTGAGTAGTATTTGTGGGCATAATGGACTTTCAATTAATCACAAGGGTCACAACACCAGAATTTATTTATAAAAAATTGTGTATTTATTCTTACACGTTTGAATTTCAGTCACCTTCAAAGTACTCTGCATTTCATGCTATACACCTACTGAGGTGTTTTTTTCACTGCTCAAAACAGTGTTTGAACTTGTCGATTTTGATGCCTTTTAGTGCTTCTGTCTTTTTTCTTTCGCCTCTTTCGCATCAGCAAAATGTTTCCCTCTGAGGACTCTTTTTGTCCAGAGAAACAGGAAAAAAAAAGTTACTCAGGGTGAGATCAAGTGAACAGGGAGGCTGGGGCAAAGTGTGATGCCTTTTTTTTGGTCAAAACTGCTGAACACTCAGCACAGTGTGGGCAGGTGCACTCGTAAATCACCCATCATGTAATGAGCAAACGCATTGAAAGAGTCTTCAAAAAAATTCACTGAAGCCAAACACAGCCTCTC